AAAGGATCAGGATAGCTGCTCACATCATCGGATGATGAATTGGACTGTGATAATACCTCCGTGCTGTTGCTTGTTTCAGTAGCACCGGTTATGACCTTGCAATCGTTATTCTCGCTCTATAATAAATCCATCTTGATTAAAAATATAAATATGTTGCTAGAAAATTTTGCAATTTAACAAAAAGCAAACTGTTCGGTGACAGATGTTCAGACAGAACACTGAGTTAGTAAATCATAGTTTTTATTCTATTCTTCATTGAATGCTGTTGATTGGTTGAAGTTTCCTATCACTTTGTTGAAGTGGTCAGCGCATTTCCTGAAATTATTCAAGAATTATCTCACTCGTCTTGAACTGAACGTAATAAAGAGGCCACACGTAATAAACTGACCTATGTATTATTTAGATGTGACATAACATAACCCTTGTAGACCGTTATAATTTTAGAGGTAAAACTATTTGTTAAATATCAAAGGATATCCACATCAACTTATTAATTTCGGAAATATTAATAAAAACTTTCATCATAATGCATCGAATTCTGCTTATACATCTAACATAACTATTTCCCTTGTACTATCTATCACTGTAAATAGTAGCTGAGTCAACCTGAATATTCCCATATGTATAAAACACATTATTTTGTAAATTGTAGCTCCCATTTACTTGTTGTCATGTGCTGAATATGAATATGATTCTTATTTTTTATGAAAATAACAGGCTGTAGAAATATTCACAAACTTTGTTAGAAATATAAACAACTTTGCTACAAAATGTGGACCTACGCTAAATTTATCACTCGTACATATACGAATAGAAAATAATATTTCTTTTTGTCTACAAATACTTGATCATAGTATAAATTAGGTTATATGTTCTGGAGAGGGTGTGTTAAATTCGTCTCTCGTTTCAAAACATGGTGATAATTGTTTTGAAATATTAAAATTATTTTATCTCACTTATTAAAAATACAGAATAATGCAGCGGTCGATGCATCAGTGAAATTCTTAGTCAAACATCCTACACGCACTCAAGTCATGACTGCCTATTGTGTCATCGATTACTCATCACTTGTCAGTAGTGGCTACCACAGCGAAAAATAATATAAACAAAATTGAAAATAATATGAATAAATTGAAAAAAAATTGGCAATCAATTGAAAATTGTATGAATATAATTACAATTATGTTATGATTTTATTTCTTATATTAAAATTTTCAAATCTATGCTGTTGCCTAAGACTTCAATATTATTACTTTGACAGGACCATTATTACTTTTAGCATTCACTGTTATTACTTTTGTTAATAAAATTTATTCATACGATTAGACTTTTATTTCCAAACGTTGCAACATAATTACATTCCCCATATAAAATAGGTATATCAAATAATTATGTAAAATAATTAAAATAATTTTTGTATAAAATAAATTTCAATCAATCCATGAACATTTGACAGAATTCTTCCTTTTCGAAAACTCAACAATGAAAATTACACTGCTATTATCTTGAAACACTCATACTACACATACTACTCATATTACCAGTTTTAAGTGCAGAACATGAAAGAACATAAATACAATCACAAGAGAATCTAATTTCAATGTACACTGAGGTAGTAAAGAAAAGAGATCATCTATAAATAGGAATTATAAATAAAGTATTATAGAAAGTAACTCAATTATTATGATGTGTTTGAGTGTCATTATCTTATCGATTTACGCGCAGAAGCTGGCATATTCGTTTGCGAAGAACCGCACCCACCATTGCGTAATTAAATCGTTTTCCCCTATTTCTGGAGTTCCTCATATCTCTCTTAACACCTTGTGAACCACTTTCGTGCCAGAGCACATTTTAGCACATCTCGTTGCCGAGCCCGAACACGAGTTACTAAAATTTTACCGAGTGAGTCTGTTTGAAGATCTCTGAAGTATATTAAATTATACGTTGCCCCGGTGCTTTTATTTTACACGGCGTTAATAAGAACGTGAAATTTAGAAAAGCAATAAAATAGTTTAATATGACAGTTATCAAATAAATTTACCTGAAGTAGAAATCAAACTGTATAATTTTAAACTTTTAGTACTCATTATGCACACCTTACAGAGTTTTATATATTGATTATAAAGTTGTTAACTATTTGACAGGTGTCGAGAAGGTTATTTTGACTTTATACTTTTTAACCCTTTCGTTACGGGCGCCGACTATGGTTGGCGTCCATGATACGACCTGTATATCGGGTGCTAATATAGTCGACATGTACATATGTGATGACATAAAATATTCACATGTTTTTTATATAATCATACGAAACAGTTATTACGTCGCTCCTAAAAAAGTGTACATACAAAAGAATATCAACGTAGCATTAAAAGACACAATTCGCCGTGCCGCGTCCAGTTCAATGGCATCACTACAGTGGAGCATATTGTTGTAACGAAAGAGTTACATTTAAATGAACTAACAGGATGATCTACGCTTACATACGGAGCAAATAGTTCAAGCTAAAAATTTATTGCTGAATTTGCTCATCAAACATAGACTTGTTATATATTGAACTTTAGTATAAAAGAATAATACGTACAAGCACATGTTAATCGTACGGGAACGTTGCTGAACTGCTTGCGGTTCGATCGCAAATGTAATAGATTCTGATCTAACAGTTATGATTTCGAAGAGCGAGTTATGTTATAATACATCTGTGCAATAGATAGGTTAATTTGTCACGTGTGGACTCTATCATGTTCAAGGTGAGTAAGATAATTCTTGAACGAGCTCAGTAGTAGAAAACTTCAACCAATCAACAACATTCAGTCTATCACCTACGATAGAATGAAAACTATGATTGACAAACTCAGTGTTCTCTCTACTGAACAGTTTACTTTTCGTTAAATTGCAAATTTGTATAGATTTAAATATATCGAAAATATCGGATTTGTAAAATATATTGTATGTAAACTCGTATAAAATATTACTATTTCTTCAGGAAACTTGAATCAGATACTAAATTGATGAGAGAAATGGGTACAAGTACAGAAAAGGAGCAAGAAGCGAGAGATAAGGTGGCTGAAATAATTGCTAAGAATAAGCAACCATTTGCAGTGGGAGAAATTGTTGTTTTATCTGATTATAAAAAGATAGCTGCATCGATAAAAGAACGTGTTGCAATGACGAAGTTATTGAATCTACATTTGGGAAACGACACAATTTCTCGTTGCATGCAAGATATGTCCTCTGACGTCCAGAAATAATTACGCGAGAAACTAATTAATACAAAGTTTTCATTTCAAATGTATACACTCGGTAAAGACTGGGTACTAAGCAACGTAAGATTTCCAGATGGAAATACTATTGCTGAAGACTTTTTGTCATTCGTGGAATTTTCTACAGCCATGAATGGAGAAGACATATACTATTATTTAACAACAGTACTTATAGAAAATAATCTACATTGGAAAGATTGCATATCACTATGTATGAATGACGTGTTGGCAAATAATGAAACAGTTAACTGTTAGGGTACGGCCTAATTTATGGCAGGGACTAGGGGTTTCAAGGAGTGACGAAAAACAGTTTTCCTGGGACTCTTGGTTTCGCCTTGGGTCTAACTTTCGCCCACTCTGGTTTTCGTCTTCCCCTTCCACAGGAAAGCGCGCTAAGGGCGCACTGGAAGGGAAGGCGACCAGGAAACGAATATTTTTAAATCAGTGACCAGTTCAGCAAAAATCAGTGACCAGATCAGTCGGTCAAAATCAGTTAGACAATCGAATCAGTACTTAGTCGTTTTTCAGTCAGTCAACTGGATCAGTCAGTTGTAATTATTTAGTTCAGGGATCACATACAAATTGTAATTAATACTTCCATATACACACATCTACACACGTACACTCGACACCACACACTTCTACTGAATAAATTGTTATCTGAGGATCAGCTTGGGTATCATTTGTTCCCAATTTAGCCATTGGGTGGTCCTTCGAGTTTTAGGAGGCACTACTGTGCACATAATTTTTAAGGGGTGATCAGCCCACCCCTTTCCAGATCCTAAAGTATCGTTTTAGCAAAAAAAAAATAATTCGTCTTTTTGAAAATCCTAGAGTGGTGTTACCCCTTAAGAACAACGTGGGAACTCCCAACTGGTTGACCATTGATTGTAATTCTAAACGCCGTTGGTACCAGTAAGCTGAAGTTCCACGTATCTTAGAGCCCCACGATAGGAGACGTTTGAGGAGAGAAGGATTGCGTTGAACTTCAAGTGACAACTGTTGTATATTGCCAGTAAAGTCGTTTTTCTTCGCAAATATAGTACTTTGTCTGGTGGCGTCGTGTCGCTGCATCGTATTAATACAATGAAATCTGAACCGTAGATCTTGAGCAAAGCGATGGTCAGGTGATCGCATTAGAAATTCACACCACTCTCTGAATGAGACCGTTATGTTGCGTGAAAAGTCGAGAAAGTCTGGCTTGCCATCTGGAAAAAGATGAGGAAATGCCAGGGGTATGTATCCAGATTGCCTGTACTCGTTGACTGGTTCCGAATTTGCTGTTGGCCAATTTAAAGTTTGTTGAATAGCGTCAAAGTGCGTCTTCTTCGGTGGCAATGGCACAGCGGATTCCTCAATTTGATCTGCTTCGATAGATTCATCAGATATACCTCTGTTTTCGAAGAATGGAAGATCATTAGATATATCACCATCAACGGGAAGGGCTTGTATTGCATGCATATCAATTTGCACGTCAGCGTAGAGTGGATTGTTTACAGACAACCAACGTAGTGCATCGAGAACATTTTTTCTTCGAACACGGAAATCTGCATATCCACACACGCTTTCCCGGCGAACGATCAGAACAGACAATGCTTCGGGAGATTGTGGCAAGATTTTGACGATTTCCTTGATGTCTTGCTCTACATTGATAACATGCTTAACCATTTCATTTCGAAGTTGAAGGATAATTTTCCACACGTGCACTACACATACTGTTTTCCATATTGTGGATGCCTAATGGATAGAACGTTACCTGAAGAGTTAAAAAATGTACTAGATTCAATAATCCTAATGGTTAAGTATATTAAAAAAAGTAAATGCAGTACTGATACCCTGAATGACATGTGTCATGACATAGAACCTACTCATGAAACTAGGATGCTTCACACCAATATTTGTTGGATGTCCATAGGTAAAATGTTCACCAGATTGTACGAACAAAGGGAAAAGTTGTTAAATATCTTCAGCCAAGAAGCACCTAGATTTCCAATTCAGATAAAAAATAGCGCATGGTGTACAAACTTCGCGTACTTGGCTGATATCTAATGGATATTTGAGTAATTTTAGTGCCAGCGTACCAGGAAGTGAAGAAAATATCATTACGTGGAACGACAAATTGAACGAATTTATGAAAAAAATTGCACTATGGAAGAAACAAATTGCACTCAACGACTTTACTATGTTCCCTATTATAGCTGCTGTCAATACAGATGTCATTTTTTGTTTGATTATGGAACATCTTTCGGCTTTAGAGAAAGAATTACCGCGATACCTTCCTTCCTTCGATCTGAAAGAATATATTTGGGTTCAAGATCCTTTTGCTATTACTGCTAATGACATAATACATATGAAATTAAAAGCAGCAGAAGAACTGATCGAACTTCGGGCAAATCAAAACTTTTAATCGTTGTTTGAGAAAACACGCTAACTGAATTTTAGAATATCGTACGACCACACTTCCCTGTATTAGCAGAAAATGCTATATCTACATTACTCCATTTCTCACCGACCTCCATACTTGCACTAAAAATTTCCACATTGCTCAACATTACAAATAACGAAGAGGCACTACGTTGTTCTATTGAAGATAAATTGCGTGTGTACTTGTCTACGATTAAATCCAGTATTGAATCGCTAGAAACTAAGCAACTAGTTTTTGCCTTCAAATTGCTTAGACGTAATAGAAGATATTTAAATAGTAAGTAAATACATGTATTGTTACTGATCTGATTCTTTATTTTTAGTTAACCACTTTTGTGATTCTAATGACATTGATCAGACTATTAATTATTATTTCACTGAAACATAACTTTGTGTTATACATTATAAATAGGCCATCGTCTTTCTCAGATGTAGCTTAAATGTACTTTCATGTATATCTACAGTAATGCACATATGATTTGTTTTTGTCTAGATTCTGACGATGAGGAATAAGGCTTTTTTACTGAAAAATGATCAGGTGACAAAAAACTTTTTATTCAATGATTCCTTGGAATTTTTGATGATTTAAAAATTTAAGAATGGATTACCAATTCGGAGATTTTAATACACAGTATTTTCTACAATTAACCCATCGCCATATTTTGACGAGTTTGACACGTGATATACCCACAGTTCCAACGTTATAAATCTTACTCGAATTCTTTATCGATTTAAAATTCCTTTTATTCGGCTTAAAATTTAAGTTCTATTATAATTTGCATAGTCAAGAATCGTTGAATACAAAATAAACATACCATTTTAAGTTTCTTTATTTGTTTTAATATTTGAACAGCTGATAGCTGACTGAGACATTCGACAAATAAATCGTATGATAAGTAATTTTTGTTCATAATTTCTTTATTTTCAGTTAAATTCACACTGTTATATCGTTTTCATTTTTTAAATAAAATTAATATTGTTGAATTTTCTTAAAAAAACTTTGTTCATTTTATCAAACAGTTAACCGATCGTAAAAGTCTAATAGCTACAATTACGCCAAACGACCTAATTGAAAGGATTCCACGTAGAAATGTACGTTTTCGGCAAGTTGGTGCAGATAAATTATTTAGAATTCGGCATCGGTAAAACTCGAGGGTCGTGCACGCAGAAACGTCATCGAAAGTCATTCGTCTTCTTCGGGGTACGCGGACGATGGGCACACTTATCTGGATTATCAATGAAAGCAACCGAAAGAACTGGTGGAGCAATGCCAAACGATACGATAGATGCGAATCAAATGATGGATGCGCGCAAAAATTTCACATTCCTCTTTTCCCACGTCACTTAAACGGGAAGATCCGTGGATGGCCGAGCCACTCCTTCTTCGTGAGAAACCACGACATTTCTATCGCGTGATTGATAAAAATGCGATTTCATGTACGTTGATAGTAATTTCGTTTTGGACGCGGCTTAAGATTCCCCATTTCGCCGTGGTCCCACCATCATTTTTCAGATTAAATGGACCACTCGAGAAATCGCGCCGCGGACTGTCATCGAGAAGCATCTGCGATAGAGGATCTACGTTATTGTGAAACCGTATTCTGAAAAGCAGCTGGATAACAAATCTGTGGACGGAATTAAAAATGGTTACTTCGATCCAGAATCAGTAGCACATTTGCTGTTGCTGACGTAGTATTACCTCTTAAAATGTATGGCAGTTACTGCTGACGTGGTGGAAATTCACTAAATCGGATACCTCGGTAAAATCAATGTCTAACATGCCATTATTATAAAACGATTTAAAACTTTTTCACACTATTGTGAACAACGAAAACTTTGCGAATTTTTGTAAATCATTTACGACAAAAATAAATGTCTTCTTTATTTCTTTGTATTTTCATTATGGTAATGACAGGAAGAATTAAAATGTATCGAACAGTTATTGTAAATATTTTGTTGTAACATTTAGTGCACGGCCCATATATTGTATGTAAAATATTTGGCGAAGTTTGATTTACACCCGCAGCAATTAATATTATTACGCCCGTCGCACAAGTGTCGCGTTTGTGTATTGCAGCTTTTAGAATTATAAAATAATTTAGCTGTGAGTCACTGCAGAAAGAAGATACCCAAGATACCCTTGAAAGTATCTTTCAAGGCCATTGAAATCAACGAGGTGTATCTTATTCTACATTGTTACGGCGTAACAAATAACGTATAAATCAGACTACACATAAAAATTTTAGGAAAAGGTTTAGGACGCGACGTGGCGAAAGAAAGTAATCGCTTTTGAAGACCTTCAATTTAGTATCCGTACCATCTGTGTACCAGCACTAGGATGGTACGTGACAATTTAGTTTTTAGTAAATTCATTTATTGATACATCATTAGTCGAATCTTTGGCTTCAGCGGTGCAGGCCATGTCATAAACCTTGCGGACCCAAAGGTCGAAGGGTAACGTGGGCCTGGAGAGTAACAGTTCCAGGTCCCTCAGGAAGACGTCACAGATTTTGGGAAAAACCTATTTTCTGTGACGTTGTCCTCCCCCATACAGACAACCCTGTTCCCCTTCCAAAAATGTAGCACGCCAAGGGCGCAAAGGAAGGGAGAACAGAGTTTTTAAATACAGCAACATATGCCGAAAAACGGCAGAAATACAAAGTCAAGCAGAAATACAAAGTCAGGCAGAAATACAAGGTCAATCAGAAACACAAAATCAATCAAACAGAAAGAAAGCAAAAATCAATCATCAAGGCAAAGTCAAACATTAAACACTCAACACATTAAATCGTTTAAACATAACATTCAAACACACCCTAATTATACAAAAATTGTTAGTTCACTGTCATTGTTAAATAATAAATAAGTGTAATTGGTTGCTAAAAACAGCATCCATTTTTTAAACTGCAATATTCACTCGCCGTTAAGTCAGCGTGTGAAGTGGAGCATTCCTGAAAGTTCCTTTCAAAAATAAAATTTTTAACCTATGCTCTGCTAAAACATACATAATTATCAGAATCCGAACTCATTATTGAACGGAAGCTGCAACATCCTATCGACATCTTATCGAACGCCGTATAAAAGTGTCTCCGATTAATAAAATTGTTTGCTAGCGTTAGGACCCTTTCAATGCCAGTGATTTTAACCGAGCGATAAAGTCAGATCCTGAAGATATCCAGACAAGCTCATTAAGTAAAATCTTTCCGAAGCAGAATCGGGTCTGCTTCTACAGAGGAATACTCGAATCAACCGAAGGAGTCGTTAACGAGTATCAAGACTAGATGAACGCTTAGCTCTCTCTTTCTCTTTTGCGACTGCTACTCAGGGTTTCGAGTGGCATACCATTCCCCACCAGATATCATCGTAATTTATAGCGAAACACACAGAAGTGAGGCTTGATTATTCCTTGCCCATCTTTCAGCCACCCCTCGTAAACCGAAACACCATAGTCACTCCATTCTCTTAACTTTCATATTACTGAACACTTGAAATACGTTTCGAGGATACTCGAACTTCAGCTATTGTTTCGTCGTATTATTGTCGTCGAGGGCACTCGGGTAGTTGGATGTTCGACTTGGAGAATAATATCTCGTTTCTGTTTTATAACTAGCAATTGCATGTTCGATGATATTCCGATCTCATAAGAAACTTTTAACTTTTTTATGCTTCTGCTTTTCAATAGAGTTTTCAGAAACGAACAGGAGACATATTTTCTATCGTACTTTCGAATGAAATACGCAAGAGTTATGTCAGTACAGAAAATACGCGAATGAAATTGAAATTATTAAACATAGAGATCAAAGTGGTGGCAAATATAATGTGTAGACAGTAAAAGTTTAAGAAAACTAAAAATAAAGATAGATTAAATATCGAGTACGATTAAATCTGTTTACGTACTTCAATACGTGTAATTTAATTAGTTATATAATCTACCATTTGCGTAAATATAAAATTAATATAAATAAAAAATATTAATCTAACTAGCATTGATCATCTACATATGCAAAACAAAATGTCTCCAATTCACATATCTTTGTTACAACTTCATATTATTACACCATCGCAATTAAAACTGCATGATGAAATATTACTTCTCTTTTATCTATATGTATATAAGAAAAGAAAAATATCTGCGTTGTGATTATTATAATATCTGTTCAATGCTTAAAATGCAGCAGATATAATGTTTGCAATTACACAGGTTACTATGCAAAATATTGTATTTGTATTAAATGTTGTGCTATATTAATTTTTAGTATGTTTTACATGTATAATACCACTAACAGAAAATTATACAAATTATGTTTATTAAACATTTATTTGCACGTTATCTCCGGTAATTAGTTTTTATTCGGCACAATTTATGAAGTTCTCTTTTGATTTTCCTCGACTTGCCGACAGTAACGGCATATTTCATTGCATTTCGAAATATGTTAGAAATTTACCGAGAATGATTTATGGAACAGTCGTTTGTTTCGGACCTGTTGTCTTGCAATGGAGTAGTAGAAGTGCTTGATTACTCTCCCTTTCCTGCTCTTCTTCGTCTCGGTCATTAGCCTGTAAACTAAATCTTGACACCCACACCATTTTCTTAATGTACTGGAATTCCTTGAATTTCCTTTCATATCTTCGGGTAATTTGGCAAAATGATACATGTCTGAAGCTTATAAATTTGAACTTTGTTACTGAATTAACGCGAAAAAATGATCTTTTCCATTATGTTTAACTTGGTAGATTTAAATTATTTGTATTTGAAAGTCAAATATTTAGTTGTTCTGAATTAGTGATGGATAGATCAACTGTCTGCTAAGAATTTATATTTCTGATTTCCACATGAAGTTTAGAAATTTTGAACTTGAATTTTAGAATTAGGAAATTGACAAATACAGAAATTTATTGAATGAACAGTATGGAATTTAAAGATTTTAGCAAATGTAGAAATTTAGAAATGTAGAAATATATAAATTTAGATACTAGGAAGATTATAAAAGGCATTTAGAAATTTGTAAATTTTAAAGTTTAGGAATTAGGAGCTTAGAAATGTAGAAATTTAGAAATTTATATATTTAGAAATCTAGAAATTCAGAAATTTTGAAATTTAGAAATGTGGAAAATTAGAAATTTAGATATTTAGATATTAATACTTAGAAAATTAAAACATTACAAATTACAAATTACAAATTTGGAAATTAAAAAATTTAGAAATTTATTGATTTAGAAATTTGGATATTAATAAGCTTAACTGTACTTTCAGTTAAATGACTTTTTAAAAAATTTGAGAAGTTACGAATACGAAGTGCTAAAAGATTAAATACTACATAATATTGCATGATCAACCGTATCAAAGGCTTTTATGAAATCAGTTGTAGATATCATTATCGATATGTG